ATTTCTATTTCTTGTAAAGCACTTATTGGTGTTACCTTGGGGTACTGTGTAAATAATACAAATCTCACAATGCCTCTTTGATGAGAGGGCTTAAACCCAACCAGGGTGTCCAAAAGCACCTTGAGTTTTATCTCAGTAATGCCTGGAAGAAAACTTATCTGTCAAGAAAAAGGAGAAGATTAATGTATAGAAAGGAAGATGTGATGTTTCTATTATCCTCAACAAATAATGTACACCAAAAAAATGTATCTGGTGAAAAAGAAATTCAGTGGGACTTATAGATAGCTCAGCATAAAATCCTTTTCAGCTGTGGAAACATTTCTCAAGGACATATTGCACTGTCATCACATAAAAGCAACAATTTAATTGCCACCTTTGAACTTTTGCTCATGCAAGTTTCACTTAGCAGAGATACTAATGTACTTCATTTTTGATGAAAATACTCACTATAGAGCCTAGAGAATTTTAAATAAGATCTATATTTATAAATACATAAGAATAAAAAAATAATAAACTAGTATAAGTCTCTAAGAGCATAATTTAAATGATTGTTGTTTAACCCTAAAATTATTTTCAAGAAAAAAGACTTGAATACCTATCATTAATTTAAATGCACTTGATATTTTCACAAAATGTAGAAATTGAGTATCAGAGAAAGATGTGTCCCTTTGTTGCATGTTATTTCCTTTAAAAGGTGAAAAAACTCCCGATATTCAATATCCAAGTTTTATTTTCAACAAGAATCAGAAAACTGTCAAAGACAAACTGTTTTCCATCATACAAATGACTTGATCACAGATAATAAAATTGTGGTAACCTCAAAGCCTAAATAACCATGTAAATGGGTTCTCTGTTCTTTGAGACAGATGGTGGATCACAACAGAGATGGGTTATGAATTCCAAAAAGATTGTCCTCCAGGATATAACAAAAAATAACTGAAGAAGTAGATTTAAAATATAGTTGAAGTGGAACCAAAATAGAAAAATCACATCAATTTTTAAGAGATCAAGAAGACAGAAACAGAGAACATACAGCTTGTATTAGAACTACTCTGGGAAGAAAATCATTTTGAACTGAAGTATTATGCATATGTTAACAGAAGGAATTTGTTCTTCATCAACAAGATGAATAACATTATCTGCTTCATTATATGTCATGTCCAAAGTTGTCAGAAACTTTGGCCTAAAATGTCTATCAATCATCTTATCACTTGCTGCTGGCCCAGAGGTATGCCAACCAACCCTAATCATTGTTGGGAACTCTTAATCTCCTGTTTCTAGATCTTAGTTGAATAATATGAGAGTGAATTAGAAACTAGTATGGAAGATAGTTAGGTCTAATTAAGGAGATCTTGCATTTCAGGAGGACTCAAATGAACCCAGATTTAAATATAGACCACCTTATCTAGGAAAGGATCAACAGTCATCTATCAAAAAGCCACTAATAGGGGTGCCTGGGTGGCTCAGTGGGTTAAAGCTTCTGCCTTCAGCTCAAGTCATGATCCCAGGGTCCTGGGATCGAGCCCCGCATTGGGCTCTCTGCTCAGTGGAGAGGCTGCTTCCCTTCTTCTCCCTGCCTACCTCTCTGCCTACTTGTGATCTCTGTCTGTCAAATAAATAAATAAAACATTTAAAAACAAAACAAAACAAAACAAAACAAAAAAGCCAATAATAAATGTTCAGAAAGGCATGGGCATATATGGTTTAGCAAAAAATCAAAAGTACCAATTTCAACACTGAATCCTTTGATGTGTTTTCTCAGGTCATTTGACAATATTTTTTATGTATATGTAAACACACACACACACAGCATTCACTCCTGCTCCTCCCTCTACCTGGGCCCTTCTCCCTGTTATCCAGGGTAATACCTATTCAGGCTTCAAATCTCCTTTAAATGTTATTTCCCTTAATACAATTCACAGAAGCTTGCAGCTTTTCTTTAATATGTGAATCCCAGTTGTGATTAATTGTAATGTCTGTGTCTTGGGTAAATGACAAACTCCAAAGAAGAGAGAACCTATCTTTTTTTTTTTTTTCCAAACTGTATTCCTAATGCCTAGTACAGTACCTGGCTCATAGGAATGGCTCAATGAAGATTAGTTGAATGAAAGGACAAATGGAAGATTCTTTTGGTGAGCAGGGTGTTATATGAACACTTCAAAAAAACCCTGCTTCTACATATGCAGAGATGCCTTGGGGTACAAAAGGAAGGCTTCTTTTGGATACATTATTGTTTTGCTTCATTTACCTCATGGATCCAAATGCAAACCTCAAGGCTTTCCCTGTGGATACTTTGATGACCAAGGAAAGTAACAAATGTCTAGAATCTGGGAGTAGATAAGAACTAGAAGACGTCTCTGGCTTAGTCATCCTGGAGAGGGAAGTGACTGGCCCCATTAATCTTTAGTGGTATGCAATGGAGACCTCAGGCACCATGGCAGAAATAGATCACCCCCAACACAGAGATTATGACCAAGTGGCAGATGACAGAAGGTCTTCATGAGACCTGGGGTGATTTCATGAAGACCTCAGGCATATTTTAATCTCCTTCAATATAAGATTTGTTGATTATGATAACTAGAGAAGTGTGGTCATAGTACTTAAGAGAGTAGCCTTGCTCTTGGGAATAGGATGATTTCAAGAAAGGCCATCAAAATAAGTCTTGACCAGTGGAAGTTCTGAGTAACACCGAGATAAATCTAAGAGAGAAAGTGCTACTATAGTCAAGATGTACTGCTGATATGCAATGTGTTACACATTGTGAAAGACTAGTTCCCTGAACCCTAACTCCTTATAAAGAGACCTATCAGACAGTTCTGCTCAAAACTGCATTTCTGAGTTGGTATAGTATTACATTCATGCATGCTTTCACTTTTGTTCCAAAGGCCACCAATAAATTTGAAAAATATTACACCTTCATCCTCTTCTTAGAGTTACAATTGTGCATAGCATATTGATGGGAAGTTCTGCACTAAAGAAGTCTTCAACTCTTTGACCATGAAAACCTGTTTTTCAGGAGACATTTATGTGTCACGAAGGATAGTCTTAGTAAAGTTGCTATATCAAACAATGTCTAACCTTCAGTGGCTTAAAATAACAAGACTTAACTTTATCTCATGCTACATGTCTATTGTTGGTTGACTGGAGATTCTGTGCCATGTGAACCTCACTCTGGGAATCCAAGGTGTCAGAAGAGTCACCACCTAAGCATCTCTGCTTGTTCTGGCAGAGAGGAGAAAAGCTCTGGATGCTTTCACGGTGAAATGTTCTAGTCTGAAAGTGACACTTGGAATTTTGGGTCACAGCTTATTGGTCAGAACTAGTTACATGGCCCCCACCAGACCATCTGCCTGAAGAGTAGACAGAAATATTCAGTGAACAGCACTGACAACTAAACCTGTTAACCTGACTGAACATTAATGGTCATTGAAATACAGTTAGAAACCACTGCTACTCATGGTTCTGAAAATAAGGATAATAATAACCATTCAATAATGTTCAGCACCTATGCCATATTTAATCAGGAATAAGAAGTAAGGAAACCTGACTTTTTTTTTTCACACTTGTCTAGGAGGAAGAGGGGTATCACCAAAAAAACACAATTACTTTGGAATATTTTATTAAAACAATTTCTTTTCACTTTGAAGTCTCTAGTGGAATTCCCACAACAGATAACAATCATTTTCCAGCCAATTCTCCATTGCTTCTTTCAAATACAAATATAAAATAGAAAGCATGGATAATTCCACAACACAACCTATTTCTCAGCTACTAGAGGGACATATACAATAATGCCCATTTACAGTGTCTCCTTCACAGATGGGCAGAGTTACTGCTGTCATCAGGCATGGGCCTGATATGTAATTATATAAGATATATAATACGAGGAATAAAATTGGCATAGAGTTCATCTATAAAAAATTAAGTGTATTTTGTGCTACTATCATAACCTTTGAAAATTTATTTCTGATAAATCTACCAAATCAAACTGTCTAGTGCCTTGATATCTTACATGATAGTTGGCCATAACTGTATCACATAATGACACACCACGAAATGACAATGATGATGTTCAGAAATAAGAAAAAATGGCTTTGAGATGTTTTTACCTGTATATCAAACACAATGAAGGTTCTTATCAGTGGACATTCAAAAGTCCTTAATTTACTTTTTTCTGTGAGAAACACAGAGCATGTTAAATTTGTATCATTTATTCAGCCATCCATCTCCAAGTTCCACCCCAGTTCCTCCTTACAGATTTCTTATATACAGTCACAATTACATTACCTAAAATAATGTCAAATGCTGTGAGTGATGCTTGGCACATAGTAGCTTCTAATATAGCTATAATTGTAGCTATATTAGTAGCTACTAATAAAATAATACTATAGAATATATAATATTATAAAATTATATAGCTATAATAGAATATATAATATTATAAAATTATATAGCTATAATAGTAGCTACTAATATAGCTACTATGTGTTGCTGGTGGTTGTTGCTGTTGCTGCTGCTGTTGTTATTATTTCGTGCCTAACAAGTGATTCTTTGTATGTCTGTCATATGCCCTTCAGAAATTCTCAAGTATGATTTGCTTTAGTTGCTCAACCCAGCGATCCCACAAGGGAAAATGTCTAATATGCAAGGCATCTTCTATATTACATTTTTCTTATTTGGACAAAACAGGCAAACCACCTTAGAAGTGATTGAACTGATCACAAATGTGTTTATAATATTATGTGTGTGTATACCCCTAGGTAAATGTTACCAAGTAATTATCTGAAATGGCAAATGTTGAAAACAAATTAAAATAATTTTTGATCACTTCATCACAAAGATAACACTGACTAAAACAGCCCCTTCTCATATTTCATAACCTTCAGACTGTGGTAAATCACTTGCAATATTATTAAAGTATTTCACCATATATTTTATTTTTATAGTAATGAATCTGATATTCTCTACTCTCCTTTGTTTTCTTATAGATCATCCATATATCATTCATTCCATTCACTTAAAGCATCATCTTCATTTCCAGGTATTTCTGTTGGTGATTGGTCAAGAGAAGTTGAATCTTTGTATCTTGTTGAACTCAGCTCAGACTGTATCTCAGTTGTTGAGGCTTTTTCTCCCCAGAAAGACTTGACTGCCCCCCTGGAGAAAAAGCAGAAACAAAAAAAAGTCCATCAAGAACTGAAAACCAGGGGCGCCTGGGTGGCTCAGTGGGTTAAGCCTCTGCCTTTAGCTCAAGTCATGATCTCAGGGTCCTGGGATGGAGCCCCGCATCAGGCTATTTGTTCAGTGGGGAGCCTGCTTCCCCTTCTCTGTGTCAAATAAATAAATAAAAATCTTAAAAAAAAAAAAGAACTGAAAACCAAAACTAAGTAGATATATATAATTTTCTATATTTAAAAGTGCCTCCTTAGTCATAATTTATTTTTAGTTTGTGGTGTATCCACTATATTTATGGTAGTAAATGAGTCCTCAGACCATATTCATGTAAGTGTTAGAAATATTCTTTTAAAAAAATGAATTGGGGCACCTGAGTGGCTCAATTGGTTAAGTCTCTGCCTTCAGCTCAGGTCATGGTCCCAGGGTCCTGGGATCAAGCCCCACATTGGGCTCCTTGCTCGGCAGGGAGCCTGCTTCTCCCCTGCTTGCTTGTGCTTATTCTGTGTCTCTCTCCCTTCCTCTCTCTGTGTTAAATAAATAAAATCTTTTAAAAAATTAGAGTAGGTTACACTAACCAAGTTTTAGAGTTGTGAAAACTACAACTGAACAATACACATATTCATTCAAAACTTTTTTTTTGCAATTACTATGTAAAATTATAAACATTGCACATATTTCTCTCTCATGGTGGGAAGCAAGTCATGAGCTCAGGTAGCCTGATGTAGAATAGTTGCAGGAGGTATACGGGGTGTTGGACTGTTTCAAGACACATGTGGGAGACCTCATGGTCAGGGCTTTGGTTTCATCAAACAAGTGGGGAGGTGGGGACAACAAGGAGGACATCAAGTAAGGGTGATGACTCAGTTCAACCCTTCACCTACCAGTTTATAATTATGAAGATAAGTATAAAGATCACGAATATACAGATAATAACTCCTATGGTCAGCACAAAAACTAGGACTGCATCAGTGTCTGGTCGGCTTGATCTTTTTATTTGCAATTCTAGAGAAAAAACACACACCTGATGATTATTACCACTGGAAAAAAAAGAGATATATCTAAATGGAAACTTTATAGCTAAAAAAAACTGAAAAAAATTTAAACACAGAAGAATTGGTGGAAAGAAAGTTATTATTAGTAAACTTGACCATCACCTTTGAAATGTCCTTTTCAAACATGAAGAAAAGTCAAAAGAATTGAATAATGAATATCCTGTACTCCCACCACCTAGACACTACCATCAACATTTTGTTATCCATTTTACCCATCCTTTAACAAATTCATTGACCCATCTTATTTTTCAATGAATTATAAGATAATTTGCTAATGTCTGCACACTTCCCATAAAAATCTTCAACAGGCATATCAAACAAGTTCAATACTTGCTTACATTTTTTCTTTTGAAGTAAAATTTATGATGAATTGCACAAAGATTTTAAGTGTACATTTACTTAGTTTTGGCAAATGCAAACACACATATGTAATTCAAACCCTATGAAGACACAGAATATTGCTATACCCCATCAACTTCCTTGAGCCCCTCCCAATTAATTCCTGACACATCCTCCTGAGGGAACTACTCTACTGATTTTCTTTTCCACCACAGATTAGTTCTGCCTATTTTAGAACTTCATAGGAATGGAAACATACACTATGTATTCCTTCTTGCGAGGCTTTTTTACTCAGTCTGTTTTAAAGATACACCCATAATGTTGCATGTATCAACAGTTTTTCTTTTTTGTAAGTGAGTAGTATTCCAATTTGTTTATTCATTCTTCTACTGATGGACATATAGGCTGTTGCATCTTTAAGCCATCATAAATAAACTTCTATGAATATTTTTATGCAAGTTGTTTGCAAACATACATTTTTCACTTCTCTTAAATACCTAAGAGTGGAACTGCTGGGTCATAGGGTAGAGTTACGCTTTAGTTTTCCAAGAAACTCTAAGATCTTTGCCCAAACTGACTGTACTGGTTATACATGTTTTGTGAATTTTTTTCTCTCAGGTTTTAGCTTGCTTGTTCATTTTTCTAATGATTTCTTTTAATGGACTAAAGTTTTTAATTTTGATGAAGCCTAATTTATCAATGTTCCCTTCTATGGTGACTGTTTTCTGAGTCATAACTAAGTAACCCTTGCCTATTCCAGTATCATGCAGATTTTCTCCTGTGTTTCCACTTTAAAGATTTATGGTTTTAGATTTTACATTTAGGACAATGACATATGTCTAATTTTTATATATGTTGTAAGATAGGGTTTACAGTTTAATTTTACACAAATATCCACACAACACTTTTAAATTATTCTTTCTCAAATCTTTCTGCTTTTCCTGCAAATAAGTCTATTTAAGAAACACAGCCAATCTATTGTATGTATTATAACATTGCTACATTTTAAATTGGTGAAAAGCCAATTTGCATCAAATATTACTTACTTTATCAATTATATAGCTTTCTTGTGGTTCTTCTCAGTCCCCCAAATTATAGGATCCTAAAGAATTTGTGTGGAGAAGGACCAAAGAGATCACCAGATGGAACTACTGAATTACACAGATAAGTGAACCAACGTTCAGGGCCATTTAATGATTTGCCAAGCTATGTTTTATATATTGTAATATTTTAATTTTGGTAAGTACCACTCTACCAGAAGCAGTTTCCTATATGGGCACTCTCAATTGCTTATTTGTCTGGATTTTCATCCTACTCTTTAAACACCACGGAGTACAATTTTTCATTTTCCTTAGTAATTCCAGCGCTATAAACTCAATTAGTGATCTCACTAAATAGTTCCAAGTGTGACAGAGAAATCACATCATATCTATATTCCAACATTGTTGGATTTTTCAAATCTTTTTTTTTTATAATTTTAGATTGACAGAAGCAATGAGTTGGGTTTGTTTGTTTGTTTGTTTGTTTTTTAAGCTAAAATGAAAGATACTTTTTAGGATTAAAACCTGAGAAGAGGAAATGCAAAATTCCATTCCATTTATTCATTACCCTACAATACTAGCCACGAGAGGATGAAGAGTGAGAGGTATAAAGATTTTACTTTATTTCAAGGGTAGTCTTCTTGCAAGGATCACTTTTATATCTAGACTACTTTTATACCTAAAAAAAAAAATAGGCTGAATTTCCTTTTGAAATTTTTTAATGAAAAATAGACTGAATTTCAATATTCTCACTTCTTAGGAAAACTAAGCTAAGGTTTACATTAGTTTTCTAGGGCCACAATAACAGAGTACCACAAACTGGATGACTTAAATACAACAGAAATTTTTTGTCTCATAGTTCAAGAGGCTAAAAGTCTGAATGCAAGGTATTGGTAAGGCCACCCTCACTCCAAAGGCTCTTCCTTTCTTCTTCCTACTTCTGGTGGCCCCGGATGTTCCCTTATGGCTTATGGCAATATAACTCCAGTCTCTGCCTCTGTTTTCACATGGCTGTCTTCTCCCTGTGTGTCTTTGTGGCTTCACATGACATTCTCTTCTCTCTCATTCTGTATTTGTGTCCAAATTTCCCTCTTCTTATAAGGACACCAGTCATAGTGAATTAAAGACTCACTCTATACTAGTATGTATGACCTTATCTTAACTGAACAAATCACATCTGCAATGATTCTATTTCCAAACACAGTCACATTCTGAGGTTCTAGGAGTTAGGACTTGAGAAGGGAAACACAATTCAATCCATAACAATGCCTAATTATAAAGACAACTATTGTGGAAGTGAAAAATCTGATGTATAGAGGATGGATAGGAAATTTTCATTAATTAAACCATATTTACCCTAAAGATATTTCAATTGTGTACTTGTTTCAAGGTAGTACCATACTGTGCTGACATTTATAAACAAAATATTTGTTTGATGTCCAAACAGCCAAAAGGGTCTATCACAGTGGTATTCCCAATTGTCATTTCTAAAAGAACTAACTGATACCAAAGTGTTCTAGAAACATTTTGTCATTTAACCAGATCATGTACTGAGATGACAGAGCTAACCCACCAGCCTTGGACTGCTACAAGAGAGAAGTCGGGAGTTGGGGGAAATTGGAGGGGGAGACGAACCATGAGAGGCTGTGGACTCTGAGAAACAAGCTGAGGGTTTTGGAGGGGTGGGGGGATGGGTGAGCCTGGTGGTGAGTATTAAGGAGGGCACATATTGCTGGGTGTGATGCATAAACAATGAATCTTGGAACACTGAGAAAATAAAATAAAGTTTAAAAAAAAAACAAAAAAACTATTATGAGCTGCCAAGGCAAAAAAATAAATAAATTTAAAAAAAAATAAAAAAAATTTTAAAAATTAAAAAAAATTTTTTAAAAATAAGTAAATTTTTTAAAAAGAGATAAGTCAACTTTGTTTCATTTAAGGGCTAACATTTCAGGATCTGTGTTCTAGCCCTTAGCTTACACACTGTCAAATGCATATTGACTTCTATGAAACAAACTGAGGGTTACTGGAGGGGAAGGGGGTGGCGGGAATGGGGTAACTGGGTGATGGGCATTAAGGAAAGCATGTGATGTAATGAGCACTAGGTGTTACATACAACTGATGCATCAATGAACACTACCTCTGAGACTAATAATATACTGTATGTTAACTAAATTTAAATAAAATAAAGTAAAATTTTTTAAAAATCTTGCAATCACATGAGGAGCTATGGTCCTAATAAGGACTAGGCTGTGGGGACAAAAACCGAGAATGGCTCCCAAAAAGTTTTAATATACTGAACTAGTACTTACTGAGGTATTTTTTAGTTTGATGAGGTTTGGTCCTTTCTTGCCTTTTTTAGCACTTTATTGAAATTATCCTTTTAATAACACTTGATATCTAACTTAAGATTATGAGCTTTCACCATGAATGTTTTTTTTAAAGGTAGTAAAAACATTAAAGAAACTTATAGTTTATTTTTAAAAGTCAGCCCTGAAACACTTTAGCTTATTTCCATTTTAATAAAAAGTGTTATGCTGAAAAATAAACTATAGCATAAATTCTTTACTTGGGATTGAGAAAAAGCTTCAAGGAATCCATGAATTCTCTTAAAAAGTAGCTTTTAGCATATTTGTTTATGTGGGTATTTTTCTGGGAAAAACCTCCTGAGCCTTGATTGGATTCTCAAAAGAACTTGTGACCAAACCCCCTCATACCTTCAACAACGACAACCATAATAAAACGATTAAGCGCAAAATGAACAAAAATAATTGGATATATTAGATATCATAGTCTAAACTGAAAGGACATGCACATGGATCCATTTTGCAAGGGAAGCACAGTTTCTCATGTGTAAAATTATATTCAAGACAAGATTTGTTTTTTGTGACATATATTGAGGACTGCATTATTATTTCATCAAAAAATATTTTCTTCAAATGAATAATTTTTGAAGAACCAAGTTTTGATGTTTCTTAATTTTATTATTTTACTATATCAAAAATTTTGTAAGCATCCATGAGGATTCCATGTACCCGTTTTCACTTTTGTGATAGAAGTAAGAGATTATAAGTCAAGTTAGAGCACTGTTCTTTGGAGATGCTTCAGGAATGCACCAACTTCCCCAAAGTGAAACACATCTGACTCTACTTTGTGAAAAAGAAATTAAGCACCACCTTGTAGAAAGTCTAAATGATATAAACCAGTGGTTTCCCAGAGGTTGCCTCCAAACCAGCAATACCTAGGAACTTATTAGAAATGTAAACTATTGTGTCATCTCACCCTAGATCTACTGAATCAGAAACTCTGGGAGTGGGGCTATCAGTCTGGTTCAAGGAGCCCTCCAGATGATTTTGTTGCTTTTTAGAATTTGATATAAGCAAACCAAAACATTACTGGGCACTTACCACTTGTTGTATAGACTGTGAATTTCACAGATGCTATTATTTCATTATTATCCAAGGTAGAACACTCAAAAACCAAGGGATGAACTTCCCTGCGTACTTCCAGGATTGCTGAATCATTTGCAAGGATAATGGGTTGCTATTTAAAAAGGAAAAAAAAAAAGTGCCAACATTCTTCATGTAAACTTAAGATCAGGAAACAATTTATTTCCCATAAGGAAAGAATAGTCATTATCTCTCAGTCTAGGACAATAATTAATTATGCACATGGATTTTAGAGTCAGACAATCCAGACATCAATAATCCTACCACTTCTGCCTGTGTGACCCAGGACAAGATACACTCTGCTTCTCAGTTGCTTATCTGTAAAATGCGTATAATGATAAGGATTACCTCATAGATTGTTATGTGGGTTAAAAGAAACTGTAGCGCTTGATGTTGTCTGATATTTAATAAGCCCTCCATTAATGTTAGCTATTATTATCATCATCCAATTCCTATACATACAAATAAAAACTTTGCTTCCAAAATAGAATACTTTATATAAAAGGGATGTTTTTAATTCTGATAATAGCTGACCCCAAGACATATGTACAGTTTCAGCCCCACTTAATAATGCAATTATTGGGGCTGCCTGGGTGGCTCAGTGGGTTAAGCCTCTGCCTTCAGCTCGGGTGATGATCTCAGGGTCCTGGGATCGAGTACCACATCGGGCTCTCTGCTAGGCAGGGAGCCTGCTTCCTCTTCTCTCTCTCTCTCTCTCCTTGTGATCTCTGTCAAATAAATAAAATCTTTAAAAAAAATAATGCAATTATTATTGCATTAAAATCTAATTCAATTAAAATCTCAATAATAACGAAGTTGTAAGATGTTAACTTCATTTTTGCAAACTGCTTCTAAAGAGAGAGTTTTCTGATAGCCATCAAGCACTGGGAAAAAAATTTTATCACTCACTAGCAATCACCACGTTACATGTGTTTATTACTTACTTGGTCCGGCCTTAGAAGTTTCCAGATATATTTGAAGCGATTTACAGGAGATGTATGAATACATGCTAGTCTAACACTTTCAAGACTTTCTGAAACTGGTCTACCCCCTAAAAACAAGAAAAATTAAATACATATATACCATTAGGCATTATAAATTGTTTTATACAAAGGCTACTTTTAAAAGCCACTTTCAGTGTTAAAATCAACTATATGCTGGAAGTTCTCAAAATTATTATTGAGGGTTTGAATGTAGACGAGTAGAGAGGAGTGATGGATGCAAAGCAAAGTCACCAAAAGAAGTGGGTGGGAAATACCATAGCTGTGTTCCTTCAGCAGAAAAAATAGCAAGGGCAACGAGTTCAGTGATGTATTAGATTAAACTTTGAGATCTGCTAGTGGCTTTCAATTTACTGGTTAGGGACCACACCCCCGCCCCACCCTGACTAGAGATAATGAAATCTCAAAGTAGTATAATATGATAAAGAACAGCTTTCAAAGTTCGCAGTTTAAAGTTTGCCAATCTACTCATAAAATGTCATTACCAAAGTGTCAAAAGTGTTTCACTATAGGACAGCCTTGACCAGAGACCCTGAATATAATAAGTTTCCAGTGTATATTATGAAGACTATATGTTAAATTTTAGACATCACTGACAAATGTAAGGCAAAGGCAGAAAGGTACTCTGAGCTTTAACTGTCTAGAGAAGTGGAATTTTAAGTTTTATTATAATTTCCTTTCAATATATCAATTGCTCAATTCCTTCCACCCATGGCAACCTGAGGTTAAGGCTATTTCCCCAGAGTAAAGTCTTCCCCCTCATCTCCCTCCAATACAGAGTCCAACTCACAGCCACAATCTACTGGTCCACGGCATTCTTCTACCCGTACAATACACTTGGATTCACCTCCAGGGCATCCATTTGTTAGTATGACTTCTCTAATACCAACACCTTTGGTGAAAGAAATCAGCAAATGTTAAGAAAAATTCATTCCACTTTCTTTACTTTTCCATCTAGATCTTTTCTGAGACTCTTCTTCTAATTTCAGAAGTTAAATTCCTAAATTCAGACTGATAATGCTTAGAATATTTTTATGCCCCTCATTTTGAATTATTTCATAAAACAGCATTTCCCAAAGTAAGTTACATGAAACACTAGTTCCTCTAGTTGCCACCATAAGAAAAAGGATTCCAAAATTATACACATTGAAAATGATACATTAACTAAAATTAAATTGTCCTTCTTATTACAGGATTTGGGGGGAACTTTTTTTTAATATGCTAGTAAATTAATGAGCTATTCTGTGTGAAGTTGCATAGCTCTAAGATGTAAAATTTTTAGATTTTTAACACCTTTAAAATCAGAAATCAGAATTTATCTTAGAATTGACAGCATGTGACAAATAAGCAGCATTTCTCTTTTTTTAGAGGTGCATAAAATACGCTTCTCATAGCTGACCAAAGTCTTAGATTTGATGAAATATAGTAAGATGCAGGGTCTCCCAAATTTGTCTGGCCAAGGAAGTTTTAGAAGTGGTCTTGGAGCTCTGAAGGACAATCCAAAAATCACATTTTAAAACATAAATAAGGGGAGCCTGGGTGGCTCAGTGGGTTAAGCCTCTGCCTTCAGCTCAGGTCATGATCTCAGGGTCCTGGGATCGAGCCCCACTTTGGACTCTCTGCTCAGTGGGGAGCCTGCTTGCCCCTCTCTCTCTGCCTGCTGCTCTGCCTACTTGTTCTCTCTCTCTCTCTCTGTTGAATAAATAATTAATTTAAAAACACTTTTAAAACATAAATATATGCTTTTTAATATTTAGGTTGCTAAGATCTCTGTATTAAATAAAGGAGGACAAAGTATTAATGACCAAATTTCAATTTCTAACAAGATAATCTCTTGAATGCTATGGTGAGTGCTGTGAAGTGTATAAGCCTGAGGATTCACAGACCTGTACCCCTGGGGAAATAATACATTATATGTTAATTTTAAAAAGAATCAATCACATGCTCCACCAGCTGAGCCAGCCAGGTGCCCCTAAATTTAATAAATGTTGTCAAATACCTGAAATTATATTTTATTTGTTTGCATGTTCAATAAAACCTTATTTATGGGGAAAAAACAAGATACTCTCTTGAGAATTACCACACTTTTTTACAACAAGAAATCAAGTCTTTACTAACAGATCTCAGCTCTCCATTGGGTTTGCTTTTCACCACAGAATTCAGGAACATGATAAAATGTCCTATCTTGTCAAACATGTCCTATGGCAAGTGATCTGTGATAAGAGAATGCAGCCACAGGCTAAGGAACAATCCATCTTGATTTCCATGTCTACCAGATTCCCTCTTTCAGCCCCTAAAAATGTTAATCATAAACCCATTCTCCCATCCAAGTACTAACCAGGCTCGACCCTGCTTAGCTTCCGAGATCAGAGGAGATCGGGTGCATTCAGAGTGGTATGGCCATAGACATAAACCCATTCTCAAGGGCAAGGGAGAGTTGAAGTCTAGAGATGACTTAAAACAGTGCTTCTCAAACTTTAGAGTGCATGCAATCACCTGTGAATCTTATTAACAGGCAAATTCTGATTCAGTAGGTCTGGAGTAGGTTCTGAGATTCTGCATTTCTAACAAGCTCCAAGATGATAATGATGCAGCTGGTCTGTGAACCAAACTTTGAGTAGCAAAGGAGAGGACTCTACATGAGATAAGGAGATCAAAGGTTGGAAGAGGAACGATCTCTTTTCTTTTTAATTTTTCAGTTATAATTCTAGTAGAGTTAACATATAATGTCATATTAGCTTCAGGTGTACAATATAATGATTCAACAATTCTATACATTACTCAGTGCTAATCATAAGTGTACTCTTTGAGGAACGATCTCTTTTGATTAAAAGAGATGCCTAAGAATGGCTGCAGTATAGCGTCACTTGAATTTATAAAAAGTACCTCTCTAGATGCACAGCCTTATTCTGAAATGCATAAATATTTTCCAAGCAAGTTTATTTATGAATTTATTTAGCCAAATGCAGTTCATTGCAATAATGTGTGTAGGTGTGAGATTTTCTGTAACTCCAAGTAACACTAAAAATCTGCCTGGGTATTCCAGAAAAAGAAAACTTTTTGACTGCTAAAATACTGTTTTGAGAGTTCAATAGAATTTTCAACTAAGTGCTTTTGTTCCTCTAAATAGTTGTTTTAAACTGAAAATATTTTAAAATATTTTAGATGCAAAATGTTCCCTTTTAAGGTATCTTTCTCCTTAGAATTTATCAGCATCTGACATATTATATGTTTTAATATTACTGTTTTGGGTTTATTATGTTCAGTTAACCTATATACATCATTAGTTTTTTATGTAGTGCTCAATGATTCATTAGTTGCATATAACACCAAGTGCTCATCACAACACATATCCTCCTTAATAACCATCACCTGGTTATCCATCTTCCTCACCCCCGCTTCCCTTCCGTAACCCTTAGTTTGTTTCCCAGAGTCAAGAGTCTCTCATGGTTCGTCTCCCTCTCTGATTTCTTCCCATTTGGGAAGGGTTTCCCTCCCTTCCCCTGTGGTCCTCCGTGCTATTCCTTACGTTTCACATATAAGTGAAACCATATGATAATTGCCTTTCTCTGCTTGACTTATCTCACTTAGCATAATACACTCCAGTTCCTTCCATGTCAATGCAAATGGTAAGTATTCATCCTTTCTGAAGGCTGAGTAATATTCCATTGTATATACAAACCACATCTTTATCCATTCATCTGTTGAAGGACATCTTGGCTCTTTCCACAGTTTGGCTATTGTGGACATTGCTGCTATGAACATTGGGGTGCATATGCCCTTTCTTTTCACTAATCTGTATCTTTGGAGTAAATATCCAGTAGTACAATTGCTGGGTCGTAGGATAGCTCTATACTTCTTGAGGAACCTCTATACTGTTTTCCAGAGTGGCTATACCAGCTTATGTTCCCATGAACAGTGTAGCAGGGTTCCCCTTTCTCCACATCCTTGCCCACATTTGTTGTTTCCTATCTTGTTAATTTTTGTCATTCTAACTGGTGTAAGGTGGTATATCATCGTGGTTTTGATTGTATTTCCCTGATGACTAGTGATGTTGAACATTTTTTCAGGTGTCAGTTAGCCAGTCATATGTTTTCTTTGGAGAAGTGTCTGTTCATGTCTTCTGCCCATTTCTTGACTGGATTATTTGTTTTTTGGGTGTTAAGTTTGAGAAGTTCTTTAAAGATCTCGGATACCAGCCCTTTATCTGAAATGTCATTTGCAAATATCTTCTTCCACTCCGTGGGTTGCCTCTTAGTTTTGCTGACTGTTTCGTTTGCTGTACAAGAGCTTATCATCTTGACGAAGTTCCAAAGTTCATGTTTGCTTTTGTTTCCCTTGCCTTTGGGGATATGTCTTGAAACAAGTCGCTATGGCTGATGTCAAAGAGGTTACTGCCTATGTTCTCCACTAGGATTTTGATGGATTCATGTCTCACATTTAGATCTTTCATTCATTTTGAGTTTATCTTTGTGTATGGTGTAAGAGAATGGTCTAGTTTCACTCTTCTGCATGTGGCTTTCCAGTTTTCCCAGCACCACTTATTGAAGAAACAGTCTTTTTTTCCATTGGATATTCTTTCCTGCTTTGTTGAAAATTAGTTGAGGGTCCATTTCTGCACTGTCTATTCTGTTCCATTGATCTTTGTGTCTGTTTTTGTGCCAAAACCATGCTGTCTTGATGATTAAAGTTTTGTAACAGAGCTTGAAGTCAGGCATTGTGATGCCCCCAGCTTTGGTTTTCTTTTTCAACAATCCCCTGGCAATTCAGGGTCTTTCTGGCTCCATACAAATTTTAAGATTGTTTGTTCCAGCTTCATGAAAAAAGTTGACAGTATTTTGATGGGGATTACACTGAACATATAGATTGCTCTGGACAGCATAGATATTTTAACAATGTTTATTCTTCCAATCCATGAACATAGAATATTTTTCCATCTCTTTGTGTCTCCCTCCATTTCTTTCATTAAGTGTCCTGTAGCTTCTAGAGTATAGATCCCTTACCTCTTTGGTTAGGTTTACTCCTAGGTATCTCATGGGTTCTGGTGCTATTACAAATGGAATCAATTCCTTAATTTCTCTTTCTTCAGCTTAATTTTTGGTGTATAGAAATGCAACTGATTTTTGTGCATTGATTTTGTTATCTGCCACATTGCTGAATTACTATATGAGTTCTAATAACGTTGGAGTGGAGGCTTCTGGGTTTTCCACATAAAGTATCATGTCATCTTTGCCAATTTGAATGCCTTTTATTTCTTTTTGTTGTCTGATTGCAAGGACTTCTAGTACTATGTTAAACAATAATGGTGAGATTGGGCATCCCTACTGTGTTCCTGATCTTAAGGGAAAAGCTTTAAGTTTTTCCCCATTGAGAATGGTATTTGCTGTGGACTTTTCATAGATGGCTTTTATGCTATTGAGGCATGTTCCCTCTATCCCTATTCTATTGAAGAGTTTTAATTAGGAAAGGATAATGTATTTTGTCAAATGCTTTTTCTGCATCAACTGAGAGGATCATATGGTTCCTGTTTTTTTCTTTTATTAATGTGCTCTATCATGTTGATTAATTTCTGAATGTTGAACCATACTTGCATCCCAGGAATATATCCCACCTGGTTGTGGTGAATAATTCTTTTTGATAGAGATCACAAGTAGGCAGAGAGGCAGGCAGAGACAGAGGAGGAAGCAGGCTCCCTGCTGAGCAGATAGCCCGATGTGGGGCTCGATCCCAAGACCCCGAGATCATGACCTGAGCTGAAGGCAGAGGCTTAACCCTCTGAGCCACCCAGGCACCCCATCCTTTTGGAAGGAACTCAAAACACTTGGAAGTTAAAGAACATCTGCTAAGGAATAAGTGTGTCAACCAGGAAATTAAAGAACTACTTAAACAATTTATTGAAACTAATGAGAATGAAAACACAATGATCCAAAACCTATGGGACACTGCAAAGGCAGTCCTAAGAGGGAACTTCATAGCCATCCAAACATCTCTCAAAAAATTAGAAAAATTCCTAATGTACAAGCTAATCTTACATGTAAAGGACCTGGAGAAAGAATAGCAAATAAGGCCTAAACCAAGAAGGAGAAGAGAAACAATAAAGATTAGACAGAAATCAATGAAATATAAACCAGAGAAACAGTAGAACAGGTCAATGAAACTAGAACCTGGTTCTTTGAAAGAATTAATAAGATTGATAAACCTCTGGCCAGACTTATCCAAAAGAAAAGGGAAAGGACCCAAATTAATAAAATCATGAATGAAAGGGGAGAGATCATGACTAACACAAAGGAAATAGAAACAATTATTAGAAATCATTACCAGCAACTATATGCCAACAAATTAATCAATCTAGAAGAAATGGATGCATTCCTGGAAACTTATAAACTACCAAGACTGAAACAGGAAGAAATAGACAATCTGAACAGACCAATAACCAGCAAGGAAATTGAAGTAGTAATCAAAAACCTCCCAAAAAACCAGAGTTCAGGGCCAGATGACTTCCCGGAGAATTCTACCTAACATTTAAAGAAGAAATAATACCTATTCTACTGAAGCTGTTTCAAAAAAATAGAAGTAGAAGGAAAACTTTCAAATTCATTTCATGAGGCCAGTTTTAATATTATTTTTTGTCTTTGCCCCTATAAACACTCCTTGAAGGCAAGGAGTTTCCTCTGCTTTTTTCTAGCTCTTAAAACAATACATGACACATAGTGGGCAAAATTCAAAACATCATTTGATGAATGAATAAATATATAATTTCTGAAACACATCTTTAAATAATAGAGTAATACAACAAAAATTACTAGAATTCCCGTAAAAATAATTCTGTGAAATTTCTCAAGGCAGCAAAGTAAATTACAAATGAATATTCACAAGTTTATTACATTTGTGACTGACCCACTAAGGTTAAGGTAAAAAATGGGTTTAAAATTATCTCAACAGGGGCACCTGGGTGGCTCAGTGGGTTAAAGCCTTCAGCTCAGGTCATGATCCCAGTGTCCTGGAATCGAGCCCCTCATTGGGCTCTCTGCTCTGCAGGGAGCCTGCTTCCTCCTCTCTCTCTCTCTGCCTGCCTCTCTGCCTACTTGTGATCTCTGTCAAATAAATAAATAAAATCTTTAAAAAAAATTATCTCAAGGGACAGAAAGTAGAATAATGATTGTTAGGGACTGGGGGGAGGGGAGAACAGAGAGTTAGTGTTTAATGGGTATGGAGGTTTTACTTCAGGATAATGAAAAAGTTCTGGAGATGGTTGGTGGTAATGGTTACACAACAATGTGAACATGTTTAATGTCACTGAGTTGAATATTTAAAAATGGTTAAAGTACTAAATTTTATGTTAGATTTATTTTGCCACACTAAAAATATGTTAACTCAAATATAAATAATTCAGGTATATTTCTTTAAAAAAATCATTCTGCTCTAGGTCTGCATGGATTTTTCTGTCTTCTTACCATTTGGTTTTTGTCTTTCCCTAACTTCACTATCCTTTTTCCAAGGCAGTTCTATTTAGAATAAACTTAATTTCACTGTGAATTATCTATTGTCTTCTCAGTAGTTCTCAAAGTGGTTGTCAAAAGATAGTCTTCTAACCAGCAGCATCAGCTTTATTTGTGAACTTGTTTAGAAATACAAATTCTTGGGTCCTCCAAAGGCCTAGTGAGTTAGTAACTCTGAGGTAGGTCCAGCAGTCTGTGTTTTAACAAGCCCTGTAGGCACTTAGGGTGAACACTTTAGTTTGAGAAACACTGGTCTATTATAGTATGTGTAGCCTTAATCCCACCCCCATGTAAGAGACTTTATGTCCAGTTTCCATTCATCTTATAGTTTTTGAATATTGTCTTCCCCCCAAAAAGCTAATACCTCTTTTCTCCAAGACATAACATATGAATTGGAGAAATGTAGATTTTAGAAGAGACTATTACAAATAGGCAAACTTCTTGATTTGCCATACAGTGTGTGGGAAGACATCTGTGAGATGCATCAGAAGATCCTTCAGCTTCTGAACATCTGTGAGATAAAGTTTTTCTTGGTGAAGGCAGTTTATTCCAAAAAAAAATATAGGGGCTGGCTTAAAATAAGACAGGTTGTGAACTGAAAATATCTTACCTTTCAAGTTTTGTGTATAAATTATAGTTTGAGAGGTAAATGCAAGTACACAAATTACAAACAAAAATTGTCAGTTTTTACCTTCTTCCCCCCCACCAAATATAATATTGTTGATTTATCTGCTCTTTGCTACTTACCACATGTAACGGTGCACATCCCAAATTCTACTTCTTTGACTACTGTTGTATTTGAAACTAAACATAAAGTGCAAAGATACATTATTTAATCATATGAAAACTTCTCAAAGGGAAATACTCTTACTTGAGGATAAGGGATAAAAGCACTTATCATATGGGAAGCAGATAGTTTTTAGTTTTACTAAATCAGAAAAGCAATGTCTTTCCTAATATATATTTTCTATTATTGCTTAAATCAAAAGAAGCTTAAACCTTTGAAATGATGAGTTAAATCATATGATCTCCCTGATATGAGGAAGTGGAGATGCAACATGGGGGGTTAAGGGGGTAGGAGAAGAATAAATGAAACAAGATGGGATTGGGAGGGAGACAAACCATAAGTGACTCGTAGTCTCACAAAACAAACTGAGGGTTGCTGGGGGGAGGGGGGTTGGGAGAGGGGCTGGGATTATGGACATTGGGGAGGGTATGTGCTGGGGTAAGTGCTGTGAAGTGTGTAAACCTGGCGATTCACAGACCTGTACCCCTGGGGATAAAAATATAGTATATGTTTATAAAAAATAAAAATAAAAAATAAATTTAAAAAAACATTAAAAAATGATGAGTTAAATTAGAAAATACTTTGAAAAGGTCTATATTTAAACTTTTATAAAATTAAAAATAATTTTTTTCATCAGCTCAGTACATGGCGAGCTAAAGCTCTATAGATCAAAAAAAAAAAAAAAAAAGCCTGCCAATCAATTGTGAGGCCCAACTTTTTCTATTCTCTATTTTTCAGAAAGATTTGAATGCAACATTTCCATCCAAAAATAAGTCCTTATACCAAAAATCCATTAAAATTATGTTGTAGAATGGTTCTACACATTCTTAGGTTAAGATGATAAACTATTTCCAAGAATTTATTTCAACACTTTATTTAGCAGGATAATTTAGGAATATAAATGTATTTGAGTAGTTAAGTATTGTTGATTTTTAAATCACAAGTTTCTCTGTTTCTAATTGTTCTGAAGTTTGGCATTATTTCCACCAGCTATAGGATATAACCAATTCTTCATAGCAGATTAGGACTAATATCTCAAAATAAAAAAATATTACATGAGGTATTAAAATTTTTTTAAGCATTGTATCCTAAATTAACAATATTACATGGGAAAGTGCAATGGAATTGAAGTCCAAATTGCTGTTTCTACAACTAATCAACTGAGTTTGAGCAAATTACATAAACTCTGTCAGGCCTAGTTAGCTATTCTGCAAAAATTTGGAAAGGAGAATCTATCTTATTTGATGGTTCTCTAATGAGAATATTTGTAAGAATTAAATGAGACAACATAGGTGAAAACATTCTGTAACTTTAGTGCTATAAACATGCTTAAGATATCATAACTTCACACTCAGTGCACATCACATTTTCCTATTCTGATTTCTGTAAGACAATACCTTCATAAACACTGCTATTCTATACTTACAAGCACCAAATACAGTTCCCTGAATGCATCGTATGCTCTTGATGTATGTATGCTAAATAAATCAATATTGACTTTGGAAAATGATTCAGACTATCAAGATCAATTTTGAAATGATGTTTTTGGTTGAGATGCCTGGATACTTTCTGTTGGCACATTATGAGATATAAATTAAAAGCTTAATCTTGAACATAGAAAACACAGGTAGGAGAATGAGTTAATACCTTTAGACTTTTATAACCTCTTTTCAAAAGTCACTAAAAAACTATTAATTAATCAATCAGCCCTATGTTCACTACCTATGCTACTTTGAGAAAGTTACTCAAGTTCTCCTAACTTCAAAACAATTGGATTTAATAAGATGATCTCTGAAGTCCCTTTTGGCTTTGAGTGCCCATTAGGTCATTCAATGTCCTCCATTTTTTATGGGAATCCTATCATGGTGGGTCAGAGAAATTACATGTATCCAGACTTTAGTGTTGTATTTGTCAAAATTTTCTGTTATATACCAGAGTAAAAAGGAAAAATATGGTCTGAATTTCAATAAATTTTTAACTGTAACTCATTAAACAGTAATATCCACTGATGCTAACTGGTTGGTGTTAATGTGTAAGGAATAATGTGTCACAGGATTCTGTCCTATTTAATATTTTTATTAATGACCTAGAAAATACTGGTATCATACTGACTGAGTCCACAGATTCTGAAAAACTAGGAAAGATATCAAATATGTTCGGAGATAAATCTGGCTCTAAAAGTGCCACAGTGGAATACTGCATGAGTCTAACAAAATGAAACCTTAAGGAAGTAAGTCTTGCACATAGAGCTGAAAAGTAACTGTCCCCAAAATATGATAGGCGGTCTTAATTTGATAGAATAGGTGAAAATGAGTGGAGATTTCAATAGTAAGTTCAATAGGCATCAAGACTGTGAAGAGGCCACCCTAAAAATCTACTTGGTTTTTAGACTGATAAAAGCCTGTCATCCATAACGATGGAGATAATGATTCTACACTTTTTTTGTTCTGACCAGATCTTGGAATGTTTTCTTCAATTCTGGACAGCACAACTTTAACTGTTGGTATATACCATCAGGGTCCAATATTAATTTTTGAATCCCTTTTTTAAGAGTTAATATATAAGGTTGATATTTCATAACTTTTATTCTTCCTTAGAGGTGCTCCAAGAAAAAAGAGAAAATACAGTTATATTTATATAGGATAAAACTTAAAGAATGAAACTCATTCTATTTTGCAATTATTATGTAGGTCTATTGTTGGTCCCTTTTATAAATGTAAGGATATAGGTATAGGAGAACTATAAATCTAAGGGCATAGGTATAGGTACACCCATCGATTTATAAAAGTTTATAGAGTATACAGAAAGTATAAAAGGTGTAAAAGGTATGGGGAAGTATAAGAGGTAGGAGTATAAATCTAACACAATATTTTAGTAATTTTTCCTACATTTTTAAACATTTTGTTATTTCATCATCCATAATGATGGATTTTATTATTTCTTATTGATTATTCCCAACTATGTGTTTTTAAAGGATATAATAAATAATATGGAATAATATTGGAATATTAAATATTAGTTATAAAATGGAAGAAAGTTTGGAATTGCCTAGAAGGATGATGAAATTATAAAATAAATCATAGCTGTTAAAGAATCCTTTGTTTTCTTATTTCTTTGCCCCTAGTATTGCATTGTCTTTCAGGAAGATAGAAAAGAACTCTGGAGACACCTTTCTGGAAGTCTTTTTCAGCTTGCACTGAACACAGTTGAAGTTTTTGAATTTTTCATTCTTTTTTTTTTTTTCGGTCCATTAAAGGTAAAAAGAAAATTGACAGATAAAAAACTTCACAGTTGTTGGATTAATCAGAAGATAAACAGAGAGCAGCACCTTACATGCTGATGATGGTGAAACTGATTGCATAAGCAAAATGAGTGAGAGATGATGGTAACTTAGATAACTATCCTAGATGAATTTTCTCTAACTCAAGAATCAATGAATTAATATTTCACTTCTAAGTATGAAAAGGATATATGGTATTCTCATCTAGTTAGTCTTTCAATAGGAAGGACTTGATCCTGAAATGTTTTGTGAAAAGAAGCTGGACCATACTGCTTTGCTAAAAGGTTATGGACAACATTCTTTCTTCTTTAAAGCTGTTTATCCACCAAAATTTACTTGATAACAGGTTTGTAAATGGACAGATCATGATGGCAGGTATGTAAACAAAGGTGATTAAAAGAAAATAGATGATGTAGAAATGAATAAAATTCATTGGACCAATAATTCTAACTGATGTTTTTAAGCCTAAAATGAAAACATTTTGCAATCATGGAGTAAATAACATGGTAGTCTCCTCATCAACAAAATACATAGCTTCAGTTTTCAAAAGTATTGTGTGTTGACGATGCACAAAGTAATAAACTAGAATCTATTAGAGATGTACTTGAAGTCTGGAATCAGTACTTATAAAATGGATACATTCCAGACTCATAAATAACAGTTAGTGAGCATTTAGTTGCTTTCAAAGTATCTTTCCCATTTGGGATATATATATCTTCAAAACCAGGAAATATGGAATAAAAATTTGGAGTTTTCCATATTTACATTCTCACTAAAATTTCAAATTTGTTTTCATTAACCCTTTATTCTTACCTTTGTAAATTACTTGTAAAATGCCTTAAAAGTTAAAAAAAAATGTCCATTTGATAGCAAATAGTAATGAATGTTTTTGTGGTCCATTGAGAGTTAAAAGGGGCTTTGTCAAATTTTAATAATGGCTCTGGAAATTTTCCAATCTTACACACCTCCGACTGTTTACAGTTCTGAATTCTCACTCTCCCCAGAAAAAGCAACTGCGCATAAAATTGTACATAGAAAATTCCAAAGTTCACAGATCAGGAAACTGAGACAAGAGAACAAGTAACTTGCCTACATTTTAATTTGTATCCAAGACAACATAACTTTATTGCCTGGGTTTAGCTTACTCTATTTAGCATTTTACAGGTAGAACAGTTCAGTACTAAAACTAATTCAACCACTTTTAAAACTAGACTGAAGCAACAGCTATTAAATTTTAGAACATGTTTGTTGTCTAGTCTCTTTCACATTTCCAAAGTCAAGGACCTCTCCAAGCTTCTTGTAATCTAATGTTGCGAAGGCAATGCAAACCTCCACCCCACCATTAACCTCAGATGGCTAATTTCTTTCCATAGCTGAAAACCACTGTCATCAGGAAATAAAAGAAAAGCAGATAAATACAACACCTATTCTATATGTATAGAAAACAAGAGATTGCCAGGGATAGTAAAAGAATCTTGGCCGGTTTATTTACAGGGAAAGGGGATCATTTCTACTGATTTTAAAGGCTGCAAACCAGCAGCTGGACTTCTACCTACCAGGATGTGAGTTACTAACCAATATAACATGTATAATAGCTTGTCAAGTTTTAGTGCTTAATGAGCCAGCAGAATAAGGCAAATTTATGGACCAAGCACAGTCTCATTCTCCAGGTACCCAACAAAACCACTAGTTGCTTGGAAGTTGAGTGTACAAATCTTACACCACCACACTACAGAGGTGCTCAAGTATAGACCTGCATGAAGCTGACAGGGGGCTTCTGGGCATTTTTGCAGCATTTTGGTCTAAGATGTGTCACAGTAAGGGGAATTCTTAATTCTTTTGAGTTCCAAGCTAAAGAGCAAACGTGGAAAGGAGTAAGACCTCAAGCAATTTGGAACAGGAAAAAAAAAAAAAATCTACAATGGGAAAGAAAAACGTGTAACTGCAAGGAGTCAAAATAATTCCCGTGGATGAGAGGTTACTCCTGACTCGTACCCCTTAAAAAAGTGGAGGGGGAGCATCTTTTTCCTTCTCTAGAGCAATATTTAGCAGCAATTCTGTAACAACTTTTATGTACATGCTTATTTGTTTTTCTTGCTGTGGCCTTGGAGAATTAGCACATTCTGTTCAAGGCCATTAGGCATATGAAAAAAGTATAAATTCGAGGCTGTCTGCAAGAGAGCTCTACGGATGTTAATAGGGATAATAATTCTCATTGTCCTCGGACCGAGGGCAGGGCTTTGCCCTCAACTGGCCCCTGTCAAGGAGCCTCCCGTCCTCACCATCCTCCTCAGCCACAGACTGGGCTTCGTTCTCAGCCTCCCTCTCGCTCTCGGTCTCCTCCTCCGCCTCATTCTCGCCCTCGGCCTCGCCCTCGCGGGCCAAGCCGGGATCCTGGGCGGCGGCGGTGACGTTCGTCCCACAGGCGGACTGGAGGCCCGCCAGGAGCAGCCAGCCGACCGTCAGTAGCAGCCCGCTGGAGCAGCCCGCGCCCCCGGGGCTCATGGTTCTCGGCCCCGACGGCCGACCAAGGCGCAGTCGCAGCCGCCGGCTCCTGACAAGAGGTGCGTCGAAGACAGGAGCCGCCAGACTCCGAACCCCAGAGCCGCGCCAGGCAACCATTGAGGCGTCACGGCTCGTCACCGGCGAGCAGAAGGCCACTTGCGGTCCAAGTGCCGTTGGAACACGCGCGGGGTCGCCCGTCGCACCTCGTTCGGCACTTCCGACGGCGCTTGGGCCGCGCCGCTTGCTTTCCGGCGTCGCAGGTGCGCGAGCGGCGGCGGCAGCCGCGCGCACGGCCTCGGTTACTAAGCAACCCGCGAGCCACAGCCACTGGTGTTTCTCGCTCACGCTTCTCTCCTATGAGAGACCTTCGTCCTTCCTACGTGTACTCCTCTGCAAACCATATCCCTAGACCCTGAAGCATTCTTCGTGTGACTTGGTTTCAAATTCCTCGCACAGATTATCCAACTCGTCATGTATCAAGAAGGATTTGTCATAGCCTTATTAAGTACGGTGCCCCAAACTAGATCCATATCTGCAGGAGAGGCTTGATTTGCAGAGGATATAGGAAGCGCTTTCTTTCTCGGATTTGAATCTTTTGTTAATGATACACTTGAGTGTGTGTTTCTGTTTTAAGATTTTGTGCTGTTTCATCAATTCCATGTGGGCCTTCTTCATGCTAGATTGGGGGATGGGGAGAGAGTGGAAGAGGGGAGCCTGCAACTATTGTCAAGCTTTTTCTACTCCATTCCATATTTGGATAGCTGATGTTTTGGGAACCAAATCTAGAATGTAACCTTTGTCCCTGTCAGTTTCTGTCTTCTTGCTTTTGTGCCTGTTTTTTAAGCCTCGCTGATGTTTTTTTGACCTCTCATTCTGCTGTCTTATATTAGATATTCCACCCAGGTTTGATTTGGGAAATATGTTTCTTTCAGGTCACTAACACAAATGTTAAAAAGGGTAACAGGCCAAGAATAAAGTGCTAAAAGGCCACTCTCTGACAATAATCCATTAACCCACACATTGATTTAACCCAAGAATCAATTATTTTACCAAAAAGAAATCCTGTCTTTTGCTAAAGTTGAATTAGACTAGAAGCAAGAATACCTTGGCATTGCCACTTGAATCAGAAAATCTTAGAGGTAAGTACAATTTCCCCCTACTCTCTTAATGGTATTCAGTATCTATATGTCCAATTATATTATAGAAAGAAAGAAATTCCATTAAGTTCCTTCCATTGGTGGTGGTAATTTCAACAAGTCTGCTTTAATTAATTCAGGATTCTTTAGGAATAGAAACATAGACTTTTTGAGTCAGAAGTTTAGAAATCCTATAATACTCCAATCCCCTAATTTTTAAGTAAGGAGATTAAGAACTGGCTGCTCAGGTAAGATCATCCAGCAAATTATTATTATTATTTTTTAAAGATTTTATTCATTTGACAGAGAGATCACAAGTAGGCAGAGAGGCAGGCAGAGAGAGAGGGGGAAGCAGGCTCCCTGCTGAGCAGAGAGCCGGATGTGGGGCTTGATCCCAGGACTCTGAGATTATGACCTGAGCTGAAGGCAGAGGCTTAACCCACTGAGCCACCCAGGTGCCCCCAGCAAATTATTTTTAAAGCAGTGTCTCACAACCATATCTACTGAATGCTCATTCAGTGCTTAGTGATTCATAGAATATAAAGTTAACAATGAAGAAGCATTCAGTGGGGTAATTGAGAGTTAAGAGTTCAAGGACTAAAAAAAAAAATTAAGGCTGAATTTTTTTTTATCTTGTTATTCCAAATTTGAGTAGATCTAACAGCTACAATGTGGTAGTAAGAGAATATTGGTGAATAGATGACGAATAGAATATTGATGAATATTCAGTAGATTTATATATGAAATTTGAGACAGAGCTCATTTGCCTATGCTTCTATATGATATTATCCCATACTTTGGGGTTTAACGTCAATTCCTATGGGACATGGGCTGAAGAATAACCTACTGCAAAGCAAACTTAAGGCATAAACTCTGGCGTTTGGAACATATGTACATCCAGCAAAGGAAGACTAAGAGATAAGCAAGTAACTGGGAAAGGTGTTAGGAGGGTCTTTAGAGCCACTTATTTATAAAAAAAAGTAGATTACTTGAAACAAAAGCAGGAATTTTTATTTGCATTTTTCTTACAAAGTCTTCTAGCTGAGATAAGTAAAAGATAAGTACTGCTAAAACTGATCAGTATTAAAGTCTGAGTTGGTACTGGGAGGGAGTCTCTGGTAATATTCTATATTAACTAAAAATACCATAAAATACTATAGTGCCTGAGAAGATTAGGAGGGAAAATAAAGTGGGAAATTTAGGAATGATCTTGAAATAAAAAGACCTTTGTGTCATGGTCAAATTAATAAGTCAAAATTTTTCCTTTTTAAATGCTGAGAAAAATATTGTTTTCAAATACAAACTTTGGAAAGAAGATCTCTGGTGGGTTGCTGGGTGGTACGGTCTGTTAAGTGTCAGGCTCTTGATTTGATCTCCGGTCATGATCTCGGGGTCCTGATTGAACCCCACGTCTGGCTCCATGCTGGGCACGGAGTCTGTTTAAGATTCTTTCTGTCGGGGCGCCTGGGTGGCTCAGTGGTTGGGGCCTCTGCCTTCGGCTCAGGTCGTGGTCTCAGGGTACTGGGATCGAGTCCCGCATCGGGCGCTCTGCTCGGCAGGGAGCCTGCCTCCTCCTGTCTCTCTCTGCCTGCCTCTCTGCCTACTTGTGATCTGTCAAAAAAAAAAAAAAAAAAAAAAAAAAAAAGATTCTTTCTGTCTTCTTTTCCCTCTGCCCCTCCCCTCTGCGCACTCTCTCTCCCTTAAAAAGAAGAACAACAACAACAACTACAACTACAACAACAACAACAACTGTAGTATTTCACAGGCAACATTGTTGAGTGCTTCAAAAATCAATTTAGGACACATTTTTCTGAAAATATTCTTTTTGGGTAAAGGAAGTCCCATAAACTCTAAGATACGTAATTTAACTCAAGGAAAAATTAATGACCAAATAAACAGCTTCAAAGATAACCTAAATGAAAATTAAAGGTCTCAAAAAGGAGCTAAAAGACTTTACTCTGAAATAAAGAATGTTAAAATATTATCTCTAATAGCAACAATACAAATCACTCATAAAATACTGTGAATATTGTGTTATTCATCTAAGTTATAAGAAAAAGTATATCTGTCCTCAACAAACTTACACTATCTCCAGGTGAAGCCACAAATAAGTGAAAGGTAAATATTGAGGACACACTATCAAAAGGGGTTGACCCTAATCTAACCTTTGGATACCAAGGACCAAGAATTACATCCTCAGTCTTCAGACCTGCCTCACTTCAATTCATTCATCTCCTCTTACCCTGCCTGGCAGTCTTCTGTAACTCTTCACCACTCCACCCAAAAAACTATCTCATCTCTCCTCGCCTGACTTTACCTTGAACTTCCTTTGTGTGAGTAAACTTGGCATACCCTCAAGGTGGTAAAATTCCTTTATCTGACAAGGGGAGTTAGAGAGGAGAAGGGAGTTGAGGGAAATTGGAAGGGGAGGTGAACCATGAGAGACTATGGACTCTGAAAAACAATCTGAGGGTTTTGAAGGGGGCGGGGGGTGGGAGGTTGGGGGAACCAGGTGGTGGGTATTGGAGAGGGCACGGATTGCATGGAGCACTGGGTGTGGTGCAAAAACAATGAATACTGTTACGCTGAAAATAAATTTAAAAATTAAAAAAAAAATAGGTAGATTGCTATAAAAAAATTCCTTTATCTGATCCCATTATCCACCTTAGAGGACCTCAAAAGTGCTCTAAAAAGAAACACCAATTTGAAGATTGGTGATAAAAACACAAGATAACAAAGGCCTAAATAAAGGATCGCCATAAAAATGAAAAAAGAAATGAATGAAACTACAAAGGAAGGATTCACAAAATAGAGTGACTAGCCGCCTAAAATAGATGAGGGAGAGGAGCCAAGTAAAGGGAATTAGGAAAATCAGTAGGTGTTTTATTTAGACAGGTTAAGTTGAAGATCAAAAGGTTAAGGTTAAAGTTAAGTTGGAGGTATCAAAGGAAGTCAAGTGGAAATATCCAGTGGGCAGCTTGAGATGACCACACACACACACACACAACCAGAAGAGAAAAACCACTGCCAGTGAAAAGATGACCATGAAAAATGCATATGTACCTCCAGTTAATATAACGGTTCTAAGTATTGCTATAACATTACTTTACAAAGTTACTAACATTGCTGTATTTATGAAAATAGGTGTCTGGGAGATAAATTTACTTTCACATTAATACTCTTGAATTGATAAAAAAGGATTCCACATTATAATCCCCCAGAGAGAAGGCCCTCACTTTTATCCTATTTACCATTAAAAAAAAAAAAAAACCAACAATTTCTTCTTCCTGATGCAAGTTTCTAAAAACAGAATTTCTCTCCTATATTTTCGTTTGGCACCCTTACCCCTGTTGTGACCTCGTTCTGTGTCCATCAGTTAGAACTGTATTTCTCCACAGTGGAGGAATTTTGTGGTAGAAACTCTAGGAAGCCCCCTGGATTTTTGTATATAGGAATGGTAGTTTCAAATAGTCACATCATCTCAAACTATCACATGTTCACTTATTAGTTTCATGCTCTTATTTCAGCCTCACCCTCTCCCACCCCTTTATTTTCTCATCTAATGCAGCTGCCCACAAAGGCCCTTCTTTTTAAAAGCCTTACAGCGATAAGAATTTACAAGGTTTCAGGGAAAGAGGAGTGCCCAAAAGATGTTCTTTCTCTACTTTAATAACAAGGGTTGAAAAGGCCTTTGAAAATTAAATCATATTCTAGAGAAATGTGGTCTCATTTTGTGAAAGTAAGTGTTGCATTGTGAATAAGTCTTGATAGAAGGCAGATGGTAACTCTCAAATCCCTCTATTTATAGGGCTTTCTAAGCCACATTTTCTATGATTGAATAAGGTGCCCTGTCTGTAATTATTCAGGTTATAGGTGCGCAGCCCCACTCAACTACATGTACCCCAAATTAATACATAAACCAATTTTAGAATTTGCCTTGATTTGGGTTTCCACTGCAATTTTTGTGACTATAGAGTGCCT